ATACAATGATAGAGAAGAGAAAGGGGAGAGAGAGAGAGGGAGATGGGAGAGAGGGAGAAAGAGAGAGGAGAGGAGGGAAGGAGGTAGGGTGGGTGGGAGGAAGAGAGGAAGAGAGAAAGAGAGAAAGAGAGAAAGAGAGAGAGAGAGAGAGAGAGAGAGAGAGAGAGAGAGAGAGAGAGAGAGAGAGAGAGAGAAGAGAGAGAGAGAGAGAGAGAGAGAGAGAGAGAGAGAGAGAGAGAGGGAGAGAGAGGGAGAGAGAGAAGAGAGAAAGAGAGAAAGAGAGAAAGAGAGAAAGAAAGAAAGAAAGAAAGAGAGAGACAGAGAGAGAGACAGAAAGAAAGAGAGACAGAAAGAAAGAGAGAGAGAGAGAAAGAAAGAGAGAGAGACAGATGGACTAGAATAAAGTCCACATTGTTCCCCATGTCTCTTCAAAGACTATGAACTCTTGGATGAAAGACAATAAATAATTCTCGACATTTGGCATTGATTCCACAAACACCCTGAATACAAAACATTGTCTATTCTCTTCCTCCCTTGTATTATAAACTTTCCTTATCCTTTTAGACAGATACTCGAATACATATAAACACAATCAAACTTAAACTTGACTTCAAGAGAAAGAGACAACAAAGAAGAAAACAAAAAGAAAACAAATAAGACAAGTTTCTAACAACTTTTTTTTTTCTATTATTTCTCTCTCTCTTTCGAACGTCTTATAGCACAATTTGCAACATCTTGACCTCTCCCTCTCTCGCTGTAAAAGAAAAAAAGAAAAGAAAAAAAGAAAGAAAAAAAAAAAACACTCAACCCTCTTGCAGATCGTGATTTATGAGACGTTATTGCGTTTCTGGAATTTCGTCTGTGATTGAAATGTCTAAATGTCTTTGTCTTGCCTGTAGATGGAGGAGAAAGAAGGACATTCCCTGTTCTTTGAAGAATTTAATCAAGAGCAAATCGTAAACGAGGATTTTTATTTTTTTTATTATCATTATCATTATTATCACTGTTATTCTTCTTATTAGTATGTGCTGTTGTTCTTGTTCTTGTTCTTGTTATTATTATTATTATCATTGTTATTATCATTATCATTATCGTCACTACCATCATTATTGTTACTATTATCATTAGTATCATCATTAACATTATGATTATCATTACTATTCTTATAATCGTTATCATTGTTATTATGATTATCATTATTATAACCATTACTCTTATTATAATTATTCTTATCATTATCATTATCATTATTATAATTATCATTATCATTATCATTATTATAATTATTATTATCATTATAATTTTTGTATCATTATTGTTATCAATATTATTATTGTTATCTTTATTGTTGTAATCCTTATATTATTATTATCATTATTATTATTATTATTATTGTAATCATTATATTATTATCATTATTATCGTAATCATTATATTATCATTATCCTTATTATCATTATTATTATTATTATTGTCATCATTCTTATTATCACAATTATTTTCATTACGACCTTTAATCATTAATATTCGTTTAATTATATCTAAAGAAGAAAAGTAGGACCACAATATTTGATATGTGTTTGTATTATATTGATCTTAAAAGTATGACATTAGACATTCAAAATTCTTCAAGATCAGTAACCTTTTAGCTAAAGAACATGAATATATAGTGACCGGATTTTTTTTTTTTTTAGCTTGTAAGAAGAAATGGGGGGGGAATAGGAAATTTCCCGAATTTCATGATCTTTCCTTTTTTTTGTAGCTACAAGTTATCTTTGTAAATGATGAGTATAATAATGATAAAATAATAATGATAAAATAAAAGGGCATATTTTTTTCATAAAATTAGAAAAGAAGTTACTGTGTGTATAACTTACCATAACAACTTGACCAAGTTCGAGTTTATATTATAGTGAAAGAAAACGTCTTATAAAACCTGGGAACATTAACATTTCCCATCAAAGGAGGTGAGAGCATAATATGCATAATGTATGAAATATCTGGAAACTGCCCTCTGCAAAGCCAATTATAATGTAGATTACTGTTTGGTTGTTTGTATGAAATGATTAGACCAATACTTTCAGCTTTTCTGCTTATACACCGTAGTGACTTTTCTATATTGCTATTGCTCTGAGACATTCCCTTTTATAAAATATTACTTATAGCTCTATTGAAACTTGATACAAGTAGCGACCAGCAGAGTTAGTCCGTAAATGGTGACTTGAATTATAATAATGAATATAATTCTGCGCTTCGATTTACTATACTTGACAAAATACCCATACTAAATGCTCTCGGTAAAAAAAAAAAAAATAGAATCCAGGTGGATTTCGAAACTATAGTCTCAATCTTGTTTTGTATTGTGGATTTTTCTACCAGAGAAACAAGGGAGATTGTTTTACCATTCACCAAATGCTCTACATACTTGGGAAGCTGTACAGGTAACCGTTTAAGTATTACACAGCTTATTAAACAATCCAAGCTTCCCTCAGACGTTCAA